GAGTGGAAGGCGCGTTGCGGGGGAGGGGGAGGAGGATGGGATTGGGCGGATGAAGAGGTGGGATCCGATCTTGGAGTTGAGTGGGAGGAGGGGGGTGGAGAGTGACTGAGAAGAGGAGCTTGTTTTCGAGAGCGGGAGGGGGGAGGAGGGTGAGGCGTGTAGGACAGAAGGTTATCGGAAGCGAGCGGAAATAGCGTTGAGGGGGAGGGGGAGGGGTTGGGGTTGGGTGGATGAAGAGGTAGGATCCGATCTTGGAGTTGAGTGGGAGGAGGGGGGTGGAGAGTGATTGAAGGGAGGAGCTTGTTTTCGAGAGCCGGAGGGAGGAGGAGGGAGGATCCCGACGCAATTTCTTTTTTTTTTTTTTTTTTTTTTTTTGAATTCTTAACCCCCGCGTTTGATGTTTTCACTCGCTATGCATTGGGCAGGGTGAGCTTGGGTTGCCAATCGGTGGACTCTGGTTAGGAGTGGGCGGGGTGATGTTGTTGGCTGCAAAGGTTGAGTCGTGTGGGGTTCGGGGAGAGATAATAGGAGAAGGCGGGGGAGAAGATTAATGGGAGAAGGCGGGGGGCGGGTGCAACTTATCGCGCGTTTATCCGTTGTGTTTCCTGCATGGATTGTTGCTGATCCCTCAACTCGTGTCCAGGGAGCTCCGTCCTGATTGGCAGCTGGTCCTTGCTGCCCTCCGATTCTGTGTCCTAAAGGTGACGCGTCTCCGGTCGCTGCGGCTTGTGGAGATTGCTTCTCCTCCTGGGGTGGTGGCTGGCGGGCTCTTCGGTTTGTAGGCAGCTTCACGATCAGCAAGACAGCTGACGCCACCCTTGATGACACTGGCGGCCTTCCTTTTGGACTGGTCGTGTCTTCACGCCCCCGTGATGGTGCACATGTGGGCGGTGATGGAGGTTGGGGGGTGGCTCCTCCTTGGTGGGAGCAGCGCTGGCGATGGCTGGCTGGGGCGTAACCTTCGAATTCGAAGGCGGCTCGACGACCGTGGGTGGGCGGGAACGGGCGACGCAACGAGCGGGCGGGCGGGCGGGCGGGTGGGTTTCCGTGGGCTAGGCCCGGGGGCTTCGGCGTTCCCCGGTAGCGCAGAATAGCGCTCCGGTGCGTTATCGGGTGGCACTTACCGAGTGGCGCGGGCGCGAAATACCGCTTCTCTTCTTGACATAGCACAGCATTGACACTTTGTTGAAGTGGCACAGGCAGGATCTCGTGATTGTTTAGATGACTTGGCAAAGGTTTCTCCTCCGCAACCTGACAAAAGGTCAGCGTCTTGGTCAATCTGCTTCTCACAGGAAGATCACACATGCAGGCTGGTCGGCTATGGCCGCAGGTACGATGGGAGGGTGGCAGAACAGGCCAGAGAAAGACCTGCTCCAATACAAACATGGCACGGCTAGTGCAGGAGAGTGTGCAAGGGAGGGAGAGCCCTGACTCTCAAGCACAGGAACTTGACTCAGGAGCACTAAGAATCTGGGAGTGAGGGGCACAGAGGAGGAGACTGAGACGGAATAGACTCAGTGCAAGAATATTCCAGCAGCACAAACAATTTTTATTTTTTTTTCTTACTTTATTCAAGTTTATTGCTTTGCCTTGCTTTTTTTTTCCAGTGGAGTTTGAACTCAGGTCTGTATTTCAACAGCTCAGGGGTGTAGCAACTCAGCTTGGCCAGTTGGTAGCACAAAAAATTCTTGAACCAAGAACATTACAAAGAGCTTGATTCAATAACCAGTGAGTAGTACCGCTGACTGTCGGTATAATCATTGTGGCTGAATGAGGTTTTGGTTTGAGCAGGCCCAGGCTGACCTGGTGGCAAATGGAACTCTGTCGTCAGAATGGCTGAGGAGTGAATCTGTCTAAAACGTCAGCGTACCAGGGATCATTATAACATGTATTGAACACACACATACACACAAACACACACACACACACACACACAATCAGTTTCATGTTTGTCTGTTTTCCTGCTGTTGTCAATTCCCCCCCCCCTGTTTTTTTGTAAGTATTTTTTGTGTCCCCAACTGAGCACCCTTAAGTAGTGCCAAACAGTCGGTGGTTCCTCGTTTGGAGTGCCAACTGCAATCTTAGGGGGGCACTCGGTTCGGGATGTCTGTGTTGCCTGTCGGTGATGACGGATGGTCGTCGAAGTGTCTCCCTGGCTCAGCGGGTGGTGGGAACCAACAGTCTGTGGGGTTCACCCGTGATGTGAGTAGGTGATGTGCTGCTTTGCTCCGTGTTGGATGTGTGGACGTCCTCGTCTGCGCTCCGCCGCTGCCCTGCTGCCTGTCCCGCTTGCTTCGCGTGCGGCTCTCTGCGTGGTGTGGCCGTGTTGCTGGTGTTGCCTTGCGCTTCGCTGCTTCGCTTCCGTGCTGCTAATCCGTTGGCTGTGCGTTCCGTGTTGCCGCTTGTGTGCAGTCATCTTTGGCGTTGTGCAACCTTGTTGCCTCTACTGTGTTGCCTGGTGCTTCACAGGGTTGCTGCTCGCTGCTGTGTCCCGTTTGGGACAGTCTGCCTTCAACAAGGGTCAAAGGGTTCATGACCCAAACCATCAAATACGGAGATTCCGCAGATTGTCGAGGGTTCAGCCTCCTGATGAGTCGGTGCAACTCTGACGAAACAATCTATCATCAATTTTTTTCAGTCTTTATTATTATATTTTTCAGATGTTGTGATTGCCTTGTACTTGTCTGGCTTGTGGTCGTTTCCCTCGATTGCCTTGTGATCTTCGCCTGCTAATCCGTTTACCTTAAGCCTTTCACCTGATGTGCTGTGATGATGTTTACACACATCATCACACACACTTTTTGGAGGCTTGTCAGCTTTTACTTTTACGAGGGGAGGAGCGAGCCATCACACAAAACGTCAGTGTACCAGGGATCATCATGACATGTATCGAAAGATAGCTTGCACACACACACACACGCACACGCACACGCACACACACACACACTTTTTGGAGGATTGTTGGCTTTTACTTTTACGAGGGGAGGAGCGAGCCACCACACACACACCCTACCCCTTTTGTGCACGTGCATGGGTGTCCGTGTGCGGTGCCTTGCAACTATGGTTTGCAGATCCTCTCCTCCGTTCGTGGACACCCTTGTGGGGGGGGGGGGGTTAGAAGCATGCAGAATCCGTTGGAGATGGTTCATTGGGATCTAAAATGAGGGGAGATCTTAACCCACACAAAAACAGACTGGCACAGTAATGACTGCTGGTTTGCGGATTCTCCCATACCCAATTCCGATTTCCACATAGCGACTCCTCGCAACCACAGAACCATCTGAAACAATGTGAGCAATGTCAAGCCAATAATAGACGCTCGTGGTTCATTCTGACTCACCCTGCAATGGATATCATGCCAAGGTTGTCGTGGACCCCCCTTCGACCAGTCTATGATGCCGGGAAAGTTCGGCTGATGCAAGTCATTGACATGTGGACCGTCGCCATACCCCGTTCGGAACAGTGGGTGCTCACAATAGTCGTAGCGCCCATCACACAGATCAATGCCTCCGAGGTATGCGATAAGTGTCCTCTCCCCATTCATTGCCTTGAATCCAACAGAGTCATGCTTCACGGGTGCATCCACAACCACCGTTTTCTGGTGGTGCGTGTAGAATGTTGACACCACCTGCAACCAATCAGAGCTCCAGCTGAGTACAAAAAAAACAGTGCCACGGCTGCTGCCACTGAAACCAACACCTGCATGCAATAGAGAAAACAAACGTTATTGCAACTTAAACAGGACTGATGTCCGACCTTGTGAGTAATTTGTTTTGAAAATGCCACTTCCTCTCGTGCTATCCTGTTTGAACGTTAGCTCTACCCTTTCTGCTTTCTGATCTAAGCCCCTGCATGAGCTTATGCTACCCTCAGAGGCTCTGGCATTAGCAAACTGTCAAGTGGTTGTGATCTAGGCCTTTTGGTCTGGGGCCTTACAAGACTTAGAAGTTAGAACTAATCAAGATATCGATAGTGCAAATGTGGCACCCAGACACAACAAAAATCAGGAGATTGACTTCACCACGTGCTGCCTCTAGATATCCAAAACCATTCTAGGTAATGAGATTATGAGAGCCAAAAAACTATCAGGGACTTTGTGTGCATGTAATAAAATGAGAACAAATGAAGATACCCATAAAGCAAACATGTCTACCCATAAAGCAAGCATGTCTCCCTATGCTGGGAATGATGGGCAATGGCTTTCCTAGAAAAGCAAACATGTCTCCCTATGCTGGGAATGATGGGCAATGACCTTCCTAGGAATAATGAATAGTGCTATGACCCACACAGTTTCCAGCCCGAGGAAACTGAGTTTTGCTGAGCCGATTCCTATGTGCTCTGAGATCCCCAGTTTTGCCTGGGTTTGGACAGACTTCTGAGGTCGCTTTGGAAATGGCTTGCCTTGGACGAAATCTGTGAGCTCTGCGTCCCGAGCATGCGTTCTGTGGAGCAGAGTGTAATGAACCCAGATCGTGAAGACAGTTGTCAACAATGCAAGCCCAGAGAAATGTCCATCGGCTGATGATTACAAATAGTCAAAATCGTAACCAGATAGAATGAGGTGAGATATCATACACAGACGAAGAGGGAGGAGGGAGAAGAGACAAAGGAGAGGAAGTATAATGCCCACTCCTGCTTCGGGCTCCCTCCTCCACTGCCACCTCAACAATCAATAATCTGAACAAGTATCTGAGTATCCTCAATGTGCCACGTGGCACGTCTAATCAGTTCCACATCAGCATCTGAAGCAATGTCGACATGAAGACCACCAGGTACGTATCCTCGAACTCTCCACAGTCCTGATCTCCTCCTGAAGTGACGACGAGACAGACAAGCAATGCCGATTATGTAGTCCCAGTCCTAACACACGTGGCAGCAGCCACGTCAGCCAATGATACACGTGGCAGCAGCCACATCAGCGATGGCGCATGGCAGCTGACACGTCAGCATGCCAAGAAGACAGGAGCAAGCCGGCCACCATGCCAGACAAGCAGCGCCTCGCCAAGTCACAATGCCAGCGTCGCAATGTCGAGCCAGCGTCGCAGCGTCGAGCCAGCGTTGAAGTCAACGCGTGAAGTCAGCATCAACGCAAGACAGAATGAATGTCAAAGCCAGGGAGTCAGCTCTTTTGTAGTGTTGACGCGGGGTCTGGACCCCGGATGCTGTATCCCTCAGCCGTCCAGATCTTAATGCGAACGAGGGCCCAGATTGGCCTGAAACCAAACTCCCTCTGCCCTGGATGCTGTCTGGGTACCTGCGCACAACAAGTGAGTGTATCTAACCAAGGGCCTGGGTGCGGTACCTTTGACTCTACAGTTGACTTTGACTCTTGAATTTCCTAAGTGCAGCGTCCGGTCACACAGCCACACTCGACAGACTCAGGCCTGGGCGTGCCTTGGTCACACAGCCCAGCGCAGAGCTACTCAGATCTGCGTTTCCTGGGGCTGTTTTCTGAGCCCCAGGCTACTTCTGAACAGGGTTATTACAAGAGATTCTTCCCTTTTTTTTTCTTTTTCTTTTTTAGTAACGTCCTGTGACATCCTACGGGCCTGTGGTGGTAAGAGAACCAGTAAGCTCGAGGATTCCGTGTGGATAGCTCCGTTCCATTGGTGGGGAGCTTCACCTGCTGGAAAACGGGTCCACCCTTATGCCGGAAATTACAACCAGTGCCTCTGGGAGCTCTACCCAGCTTCGTTTGTGTTTTCCTCTTGCCTATGCCACAGTTTGGGCCCTGAGCCTGTGAGCTGGTCGACTAAACATGATTGAAGAATTAACATCCTGCGATCCCACCAGAAAAACAGGCCTGAAGTTCTTCGATACAGGGGCCAGCTTCATCCTTGTTATTAAAAAATAAGGAAAAGAAAAACATAAGAAAGGGCATACTTGCAAGGAATGAGTCCCCGCGGGGCCCTTATCAGACATACAAGTGTTCTGGGCTGTGCCCCCAGCAAGCCTCATGCCCGCCCTAAGTGAAGCCGGGCCTGAATATCCACGTGAGGCCTCCTATCGACATTTCTCCATATGTGGGGTATCAGACAGTTGCAGCATGTCAGCTGGTCACAAAGCAACGTGAGCCTGTCCTGGCTCTATCTGCGAGCAACAGCTGAGGTGCACACTTGAGCCCAGGGCCCCGATTGGTTACGCCCTGGGCACACACATTGGGAGGTCGACACATCACGCAGTGGCCGCGAACGAATGAGAAAGCAGCATCGTCGTCACACAACCTCGATGAGCCAATGAGAACGCGGCAAACACTTGGAGCCTGGATGGCTGCCTGGGCATGCCCAACTGTAATGGTCCCAGGCCCGTAACAGCAGAAGTGGGCCTGGGCGCAGACACTAGGGACCAACTGGAAGCTACTGGAACGTCCCCAGCCAGGCCCACGAAGGCAGACACGGCCGCACTTTCCATAAAGGAAAGTGGCCTGCCCAAGCAGCGGCATTCTGGCCTTGGCAGGCAATGCGGACACGCTGCTGCGTTGCTGCACTAGTGTCTGCATGTCCGCTGCTGGTTAGACGCGCGCACGGGCACTGAGGTGCGGGTTGCTGCTGAGGCGGCGGGTGCACAGCAGCCATAGCCGGGCTCCAGGGGCGCACGCAGGTGGTGGCGATGGTGGTCTTCGGGTCGGAGGCGCATGAAGTGGGGAGTCGAGGGTTGATGAGGGGAGGCGAGAGAACGTACCTGATGTATGCTGGTGGTCGGCATTGGTGTTGACATCACGTACATTGGTCTTCGACTTCGACGTGATCCAGTCGCAAGAACGTAGACAGGATAGATAGGCTGAGTAGTGTAGGCAGGGCGCTGGGCACCAGACTGTAAGAGCGGCATTGGATACTGTGTTGGTGTGGCCAGAGAGCGTTGACATTGGCACACGAGTTCATTGTATTGCTCGTATTTGGATGGTATTCTGGTGCATTGTGCTCTCTGCTTGGTACATGACTATCTGGACTACTTCGTGATTTTGCAACTTGGATTTCTGTCTCTCTCTCTCATATTCCTTGCAATTTGGTATCAGAGCTGGCTCGATATCACCGTTACCGGCGCTGGCGACTTTGTTAATTGGTGTGCTGACGAAGCTTCTACGCAGTAAGGATACATTGGGGCTAGCTTGTGAAGCCACTCCCGGGTAGAGGGGAGTCTGGCAGGAAGGCTGTAGCGTCAGCGTGGGATCTGTGGCGACAGCAGGTGTATGTGGGATGATGAGAGCACGCTATCCGACAGCTTTCTCCAATGCAGCTCATCAGGCCATAGACGTTCTTATGGGACAACTGACGAGGTTTGAGCACATATGTAACAATACTTCCGACTTGAAAGCTGCAAAGACGTCCTTGACACGAGGTATGCTCGTTAAAGGCCATCTGCCCAGTGTCCTAGCTCGAGGTTGGACTCCTTCTGTGTGTGGCCAGCAGCTTCGGCTACCAAATTATGTCACCCAGCTTATGAACTGGTTTCCTCACCTGGTGTGCTAGTCAATTGCTCACCCCCTGCCAACTACCAATTTTGAGCATAGGCAGCATCTGCCCTGCATACAACCAAATGTGGCAATTGCAACCCAAACGGCAACTCTGCCAACTGTGGCAGACAACATGCCTGTGGCCCAAATGCCCGCAGGGGAGGATGGTCTGGATCCTCCCATTGCGATGGCTGCTGCTCCAACCGACGACTCAAAAAGAAGAAAGAGCCAGCATTGGGCCGCTTTCAGTGGGTGCAGAAAAGCCACATTGTCAGTGGGTTGGGGGTGGGGTGGGGGGAGAGATTCCCCACTCTGGGCTGACCCATCCCAGCTAAGCTGGGTTCAAAGCCCAAAGGCCACTGAGCAGAATCGTCGGGAGTGCTGAGAGTTGCAAATGGCTGACTCAAAATTCAGCAGGCAGAAAAGCTGACATCACTGAGCTAATCATTCCTAGTGGCATAGAGAGGTGATGGAATGTTTCCGAGTAGTGGGATGCAAAAGTCCGACTTCAACAGTCGGATTCTGCTAGCCTGGCACTACCAACAGTGACGCATTATTGCCCTGGATATTGCTTACCTTGCACAGGAACTGAAAGGAGCTGGGTTTCCCAGCTATATCATACTCAAGGCAATGAAGCGGATTGCGGCCAGAGTGGAAGGAAGGTCAGGCCGATGTTGGCCTCTCTGCTCGAGGGATGCTACTTGAGTTGCTCGGCTTGACCCGAAAGCAGTCCTGTAACCAAACAGGGGTATGAAGGGGCAGCTAACGTGTTGTGCTACCAACAAGCCCACACATGCCCCTGCAAGATACTAGAATCTGATGATGAAGATCACCTGAAGAGGTCTGCACTACACAATGTCAGCCTGAACTGGAACTGCGACGATATGAGTGACAAAGAAGCGTTTTAATATCTTGTAATCACATCAATTTATTTGTCTTTTTCGATGAACCTCTGATATTGAGGTCATAAGTAAGCGGGAATAAGCCCAGAGCCTATTCCCAGTGTACTAGGTATTTTTTCTAGTCTAGATTCATAAATTGTTTTTCGAGGCAGCTTGGTACTCCAAGCTTTGGTAGGACGGGGCGGGACACTAAGACTCCGATTCATTTTTTTGGGGTACTTAAGAAGAGGAAGCATACACTTCTTGTTACGGACTTCGCCAGGGCTCGATCCC